CGCGATGATAGAGGACGAGGACGACCGCGACCAGTCATCGCCCGCCTTCGGCCAGGACGTCACCTTTCTGGAGGTCCTCGACAGCGACGGGAGTTCGCAGCCTGACCCTGGGGGCATACGTACAGACCTGGTGTCGCAGGAGGAGATGATGCGGCTGGCCAGCCCCAACTCCAGCGCCCCCTCGAGTGCTTCACCTCCTCCAGAAGCAGAACGATTTCCTGGGCTTCGTGATCACCTGGATCCTCGGGAGAAATCAGATGATGAAGGTCAGATTCCTTTTGCGCCTCATGACACGTCCGCTCCCCTCTCCGCCAACTTCGCGCGGGCGTCCGAGGGGGACTTGCCGCCCACGATGCCTTCTGCAGTTGGCCATCCTGTTCATGAGTTGCCTCAGCTGCCCTCTCCTGATGGCCACGTATCTTCGCCCGCGGGTGACCCTCCTCAAGCTCTTCAACTTCCACGTGTGGCGATGGGAGCTGCGCCGCAGCCTGAGGGGCTTCATGACGATCCGCCTCCTTGGGCCGATGGGTCTGGAGCCAGCTGGGGCGAGCTGCAGCCCAACACGTTGTTGGCAGTCAACATGCTCGTGCCTGCGATCCTCCCCGCGATGACCGAGCCCAGCCCCTCCACGTCGCTTACCTGGGATGATGGGCGCCCGCCAGGCACGTGGAATCCGCAGCAGGTCACCTTTGAGGAGCTTCCTGCAAACCAGCTTCGCCAAGCCCTTCTTCTTCTGCACCATCTCTTTCCGAGTTTGACAGAGGATAAGCTCGACTACATCCAGTGATTGCTGCGCAACCCTGGGGCGTTCCTCATTGGCGACGATGGACTGGGGCCGTTCGACCCCGACACTGAGGACATAGTGGCGATTGTCCCCCGCATGCTCACAGAGCGCCTTTCCTTCATGGTGATTGGGCTGCTTCGCATTCAGGGTCTTCTCCTGCTGGTGGTCTCGCTGCTCGTCCTGACGGTGCTCATCCTCATCGCAGTCGGCCAGGTGCTCTCCATGATCACGATGCCCTTGCTCAAGTGCTTCCTTCTGAAGGCGCTGGACGCCAAGAGGCTTCTGGTGAGTTGAGGCACACGGATGCTGGCGCTGGTCCCGTGGCGGGCCCTTTGCTTGCTGCCGCTGAGCACGCGCCCTGTGGGGAGATGACCGACACCACGCGCTACGCGGCGAAGCTAGTGTTGCAGGAGCTCACGCGGCGCACCTCAACCCCTTCTTCGGCCTTGCTGTCAGCTGCTTCGCCTTCCTTGTCGTCGGCGCCTTCTGCATCTACCTCACCCTCATCTCTTTTTTCCGTTTTCGGGCTCTCAGATGCAGGCGGCGATGGTGTTCCTTGAGGTCCAGGGCTTGAACCAGGACGAGGTGCAGGAGGCGTTGCACCTCCTCCATGAGCCTGATGCTTTTCTGGATGCTGGTGATGCTGATCACGCTGGTCTTCCCGATGCGTCTCATGAGGCTGAGGCGGTGGCAGCCTTGGATCCTGGTGCGTCCGACCCGGTGTGCCTGGACTTTGCTGCCGCGCTCCAAACGGAAGACGATCTTGCCGACCAGCTTGGCGACGACGCGGAAGCTCCTGTGGTGCCTGCTCTCGCTGACCACGCTGACGGGCTGCTTGTCGCACTGCCTGTCAGCCTCATCGATGACGACCTCGACGACGCCACGAACGGCGCTCCCGTCGAGATGAACTCCGACACCACCCTGGCCGCCGACGCCGAGCCTGAGAGGCCCGAGGCGCGGCCGCGCGGCCCTGGGGCGTGAGGATAGACCTTCGCTCAGGGACGCTCGCTCCTCCTCCTCTCCTCTTTTCCTCGTGTGTTTGAGGAAAGTATCGTTGGCCGTCTAGTCCGTTGGGATATATACGCACGTGGCACGCCCCGGTTATTCTCCAGATTTCGGATCTGCGCACGGGCTTGCCTAGTGTAGGCCGGTTCGTGTGGCGATCCAGGACTGCTTGGCGCCTGCTGCTCTCCTCCTTTGCCCTCTCCTGATCCTCCGCCCCTCTCCCCTGCCCGAGTCTGGGGCCATTGCAGGTTTTTGCCATCGCTCTTGCATTGCTGCCAACTCTCTGGCACGGGGGCGATACGTGTTCTGGCGAACTCGTATATTGTGCCATCTGTCAGGTCGTCTCTCCTCTTCTTCCTCCTCTTCCTCCTCCTCCTCCGTCCTCCTCCTCTTCCTCCTCCTCTTCTTCCTCCTCCTCCTCCTCCTCCTCCTCCTCCTCCTCTCTCTCTCTCTCTCTCTTGGCACTGTGTGTTTATGCCAGTTTCCACGCGAACGGTGAGAACAAAGAAAGAGTTTCAAGTGAAGCCGGCATTCGGGCATTCGCGCGCGTTACGACGGTGGTTGTTGAAACATGCGGTCTGCCCCCATATTCTCCGTTCAAAAATGTTAGGAGGCCTCACATGAAAGAAAGGAATTCCAGTGATGCTCTTTTTGTTCAAGTTCATTTCGGGCCTCATCAAGACTTCGGGGTCACACTGCAAATATTTATCGGGATTATGGTTGAACTCTCTGACGCTGTTTTGGCACTCTCTGAGGTCATCTTCGTGTCCTCTTGGCTGCCCCTGAAACCACAGTAAAAATCGGAAATCGAGATCTCCTGAGATCACCTGTCCAGCCTAGCTAGAACGTCAGCGCGCGCGCCCAGACAGAGACAAAAGAGGGGACCGCCTAAAGCCTTACGAGCGCTTTGCCCCAAGGTGGCCCCAAGGTTCTCCTACAGGTTCTCGAGGCGCCCCCAAGATGCCTGCGGAAACTCCCAGGAGGCTCCCAGGAGGCACCAAAAGCCCCCCAGAGGCCCCGAAAGACCTCCAAGACGCCGCCAAAACGTTTGTATTAGTGTGTGTGTGTGTGTGTTAGTGTGTGTGTGTGTGTGTGTGTGTATGTGTTAGTGTGTGTTAGTGTGTGTTAGTGTGTGTGTGTGTGTTAGTGTGTGTGTGTGTGTCTGCGTGTGTGTGTGTGTGTGCGTGTTTGTGTGTGTGTGCCTGTGTGTGTGTTAGTGTGTTTTGCGTGTTTGTGTGTGTTGTGTGTGTGTCTGTTTGTGTTTGTGTTTGTGTTTGTGTTAGTGCTTGTGGTTGTGTTGTGTTGTGTTGTGTTTTGTCGTGTTGTGTTGTGTTGTGCTGAATTGTGTTGTGTTGTGTTGTGTTGTGTTGCCTCGAGGGCCATCTCAGCAGACCATGGCCTGTATCCCGGAGACTTCTGTCCCACAGCCCAGGCATGGCAATTAAAAGCAAGGGAATTCAATACTGCACTTCTTTTTCAAACTAACACCGTGCTAATTTTTGGGCAGCAGGCCAGACTTAAGGCCCCAGTCACCACCGAAGAAAGATCCCAGGAATCCTTCGAGAGCCTCAAATCATCGAGCACCTAAAGGAAATTGATGATTCGTGGTCTCCGCATTTCCTCTTCTATACGCTTCCGAGGCTTGCGCAGGGACTCTAAGAAGGTTGTTAGATGCACGAGGCACTTCAATAAGCGATACTCCATGCGTTAGCCTGTCGAGCCTAGCTAGAACTTGAGCGCGCGCGAGGCGCCCGCGATGGTTCCAGTAGATATGTGTGCGTGTATATATATATATATACATAGATGTATCATAATCCACATATGCATATCTACACATACATATAATAATACTTCAGGAAGAGAGAGAGAGAGAGAGAGAGAGAGAGAGAGAGAGACAGAGAGAAGAAGACAGAGAGCGAGAGAACGAGAGAGAGAGGGCGAGAGAGAGAGAGAACTATACTTTAGTTTTATATCGCACATATGTATGTATGTATGCATGCATGTATGTCTGTATGTATGTATGTCTGTATGTATGGATGTATGTGTATACATACATATATATACACACATATATATACAGATCTGCGATTTGGTGTGTGTGTGTCCCCTCAGAAGAAAACGGGATCCTCCGGATCCAGCCCCGGGGACCCCCTGGACGCCCCTGCAGGAGGTCTCCTGGGGTTTCCGTGGCTCGAGGAACCCCTTGCTGGGCCTAGGCACCAGACCCAAATCGGTCAGGAGAGCGGCCGCACGGCCCCGCGGCCCCGCGAGAGCCCCAAGAGGCCCCAAACACCCACCAGACGCCCGAAGACGACCCAACGAGGACCCCCCAAAAGGCATTGGAAGCGAAAGAAAACGTTGATTTCCAATCGTTGTTGCATGATTGTGGGGATGCTCTGTTCTTGAGTTTTCAGTCCGAGACCGCCCAGGAGGCCAGAACATCGCCACAAGACTACCCAAAAGGGCTTCCAGGCAGTCCACGAGAGCCCCAAGACGACCCAACAGGGTCCAAAGATTGCCCGAAGAGAGCTCCATGACGGCCCAAGATGGCCCCAAGACGCCCCCCGAAGCATTCCAAATCGTGACCTGGTTGTTCAGGGAGACTGCGGTTAGAAGCAGGGTGGCCAGAGGAAGCCTCCAGAGGCTCCCAGAAGGAACCCAGGAGGCCTCCAGAATGCCCCAAGTAGCCCTTAAATATTTTCGTGAGGCCCCCAAGAGGCTCTCCAAGGAGGGCCTCCGCAAAAAGAGCTGAGGAGGATGGGGACCAATTCGCTGGGTATGGCGAGAATGAGGAAGAGGAAGAGGAAGCATGAGGAAATAACTTTGAATCCTATCATTATAACGACGATATCGGAAAAAAGGCAAGCAGGAATTATCGCTAAGTTTGGCAATTTTACCTTGCTGCACTTTCGCCTGTATACTAAACATTGGGGACCAAGGTACATGGCGCGAAGCGCCAGTGCAGTTTTGAGTCTTGTAATTCTGTCTGTGTGTTTTCATATATATATATATATTGCATCCCGCAGCTTGCACCGCATAGCTTGCACTGCTTGCACCGCGTAGCTCTCACCACATACATTTCACCACATAGGCTGCGCCGCGTAGCTTACCCATCCAGAGCGCAAGAACTCGCTGCTTGGGGCTTGGGACCCACGCCGGCGAGAGTGAAAACTGCCCATCGCAGCAGCTTTCTGGCTCCCCCCACCCCCAGGTCCGGGCGCGGCCACGGCGCTGCGCCACGACCTCCGGGAGAGGCTGACGGTCTGAGAGTGTGCCTCTTCGCCCGAGGTTGGGATTTGTTCATAACAACCGCCTGGGGGATTGATCTTGGGGGCCTCGGCAGGCGGAGGATATGGACATGTTCGGCCCCCCCTGGGCCCAAGCATATCCATGCCCTCCGCCTGCTTGAGGCCCAGGAAGTCGGTTACCAAGGGCGCCCTCGAGGGCGCGGAGTAATTCGCGCTTTGCGCGTCGCGAATCGGCTCCGATTCCTCCTCCTCGTCCTCCTCCGCCTCCTCTTCTCCCCTGGGGGGCGGGGGCGGCGCGAGAGCGCGAAGTCGTTGGCGCTTCGCGCAGCGCGAAGCGCGAAGTTAGGCGCCCTTGGCTACTCAGGCGGTGGATATGGGCAGACCCCCGCCTCGCAGGATCGGCGCGCCCCGCGGGCCGCCCGGGCGTGGGGTGGGGGGGCAGGCTCGCGCGCACCTCCGCGCTCGCGCCGCCCCGACGCGGCGGCAGCGTCGGCGCGGGCGCTCGAGGCCGAACACGCTCTCAGACAGGAGAGGATTAGGCTCTCGATCTCCGTGTGCGCTCCTCCATGGGCATGAGCGGATGTCGTGATCGAGCCGGATATCGCCTGCTCTCCGATGCGTTCGGACTTCCAGCGGAGGAACGGCTGATTGGCAATGTGATCAGACAGCGATTCGCGAATCCTACCCTGACTGCTGCCCGTCGAGGAAGTTAGGTCGCCCGCGGTGGCTGGAAGATAATCGCGCTTCGCTCGTTGTGGTTCAGGTCAGAGCGGTTGCCCTTCTCCAAGGGTGCGGTGCAAGTGTGCGATGGCGCGAATATGATCACGCGTCGCACATCGCAGTCCGCGATGCACGATGTTGGGTGACCGAAAGGAAGTGACCTGGCAGCGGGGCCGAAACCAGCTGCATGCACGCGCTCCCCTCCCCGAGACTTCGCCCCTCCCTCGGGGAGGTCCCCTCCTCCACCTCCTCTCTCCCCATCCCCCCCCTCCCCCTCCTCCGCCGCCGCCTCCTTCTGCTGCTCCTCCTCCTCCTCCTCCTCCTCTGCTCTCTCCCTTTCTTTGTCGTCGTCCTCCTCTTCCGCGTGCCCCTTCCTTCCCCCTCGCTGCTCCTGCTGTCCTGCTGCTCCTCCTGCTGCCGACGGCTGCGCCTCCTCGGCTCTTCGTTTCGTTCCTTCGCCCCTGCCCCTCGCGATCGCCGCGTGTCGCTCGTGCGGCTAGGAGCGCGCGCGCCACGCTGCTTTTAGGCAGAGCTGCGCGCAGCTGACCCCGCGGCCCGGAAGCCGAGTAGAGCCCGGCAAGTGGAGAGTGACGAGGACGAGAAGGAGAAGGAGCGGGAGGAAGAGGAGGGGACAAGGAATACACTGACTGATGATGCTGCTGATGATGATGACGATGATGATGCTGATGACACTGATGATGATAATGATTATGGTGGTGGTAGTGATGATGATGTTGACGGTGATGACCATGATGATTATGCTGACGATGATAGTGATGATGGTGATGGTGATGGTGATGGTGGTGGTGATGGTGGTGGGGATGATGGCGATGATGGCGATGGCGATGGTGATTGCGATGGCGATGGCGATGATGACGATGATGATGCTGCTGCTGATGATGATGATGACGATGATTCTGATGATGATGCATGCTGATGATGCTGATGGTGGTGGTGATGAAGATGACGAGGATGATGCTGATTATGATGATGATGATGACGATTGCGATGATGATGCTGATGATGATGATGATGATTATGATGCTACCGATGCTGCTGATGATGATGATTACGATGATGCTGATGCTGACGATGATGATGGCTATGCTGATCATGATGATGATGATGATGATGGTGATGATGATCCTGGTGATTCCGATGATGATGCTGTTGCTGTTGATGATGCTCATGATGATGCTGATGAAGTCAATGCACCCCTTCCGCACCACCAATCTTTCGCCCTGCCTGCTCTCTCTCCTTGCGCGCGTTGTCCGCCTGCTGTGCTGACTGACTTCTTCTGCTCCCGCAGCTATACTACTTTGGCTCTGGGGAAGCGGAAAAGGAGCGAGCCTGCGGCGCGCGCGCGTGCGTCGGCCGGCGGGCCGGCCTCCTCCCTTCAGTGTTACCTTAATGTATGTTTGACGGCATTATCCCTTCTTACCCATATCATCTGCGGAGCCCACTGACCATGATAGATCATCGGAACACTTTGCATGGATTATGAATATCCGCGCAAAAGATTGGTTATCAGCCGAAACGACGGCACAGCCGTTCGCTTCGCAGAGCATGGGGTCGCAAAAAGGAGCGCTCGGGCGAACAGAAGATCGAAGACCTTCCGAGCGTAGCGCAAGTATAGGCGCCTCAGCGAGACGACAACAGCCTCGTAACCTTCCCATTAAGAAAGCATCAGAGATTGTGTTTGACTTGACAGAAGGATATTCATCGGTTGATTCAGTGACAAGGTCCAGAGAAAAAAAAACACTCGAACGGAAGATATGACGCAGCCAAAACTTCCGCCGAGGGACCGTCTGAGTTGGTGTCGGTACACCATGGCTTTCAGCCATCGATCGACGTAGATCTCGACATGGAAAAGTTGTTGGATCACATCCCCATCGAAACGTCAGGCGCCGCAAGCCTAGGCGCCGAGCGTGCGGTGCAGTATGCGTTGTATGGACAGAGTGAGGATGTGAACGATTTACAATCTGAAAGGGGATAGCTCCCATCCGATAGAGAACAACGAAGAATATGCCCGATTCCACACCTCGCCTGGTCCGTCGCGTCACCTCGATCCTCTCCCTGACGGGTGTGTCGGTCTCGCCCCTGACCGTATAACGATTGAGGCAAACCAGAGAGCAGTCCTTGATTCGGACGATGACCTCGAAGCCGGAGAGAGCCCAAACCAAGGTGGATGCTCATCGGCGCAGCCGATGTCGAGCTACCCCGACGCAGTGCGTGCAGTGAGAAATACGCGAGAGACTACAGGCCTGACTCCCCATCCGCTAGCGAAGAAACCGAAGGGTGAGGACGACGATTTGAAGATCTCGCCCTTACTGCAGGGGTTTTACAGACCAGACTTCTGAGCTCGTAATGCAGGACGGAAGAGACGACTTAGCAAGGAGCATGGGCGTTGACACCATCAAGAGAGGCGTGAGAACGAGAGAACAGCACGCGCCTACTCCCAGCAGTGAAAGGGGGCGCTCCAGTAAGGCCCCCAGGGCCGGGCGTTCCAGTTCCAGAGGGTTAAATGCACTTGATTCGCCGCGAATGTCATCGAATAGAATCACCAGCAGCTTCTCGATGCGGGGGGGCTGCTGGAACGCCGGGCCAACGTGCCCCACTCGGGCGGAGAATCGGTGCCCGGGGAAAGCGCGCAAACCGGGGGGTTCACGTCGAAGGCCAGCGTGTTCTAAATTTTCGAATGTTTGCCCCAAATGTAGTCTAGCATGGCTTTGTGAAGAGTGCGTCGTGATGGAAGAGCGCAATTGCCATCGTAACGCGTTTCAAAAGTGGGCGGAAAGAAGCAGACAGGGTCGGGAACAGCTGAGGGCTGCGAGTGCGCATATGCAACATATCATTTCTGAGGCGCAGGAAAATAAGAAGGCCGCCGAAGAAGCTCAACGACGGCTTGCAGTTTCCGAGGCTGAGAGACAAGCAAGTGCACAAATGATGGAGCATGAGGAAACCATTATTGTGGAAATCGCGCAGAAACTGATGCAGCATGCTGAGGCCAACGTAGCAGGCGTTGCAGACGGAGCACACCGGCACCTTGCTCAAGAGGAGACTGAAAGATTGAGGATCCAGAGCATAGTTGAACAACTGGTGTCGGACTCTCAGCAGAAGGCTGAAAGAGAGAAAGCTGGACGCAGAGAGAAGGCTGATGCTGCGAGGAGGGAAGGAGAGAAAGAAGCTGGGGAACAAGCGGCGCGAGAAAATCAGGAGCTCCGCAATCAACTTGAAGCTGCTAGACTCGAGACCGAAAAAGTGAAATCTGGGGGCAGGCCAGGTGGGTTGGGGGTCGGGGCGGCTGTACGGACCCCGCCGCGGGGGGAGTCAATGCACCTTTTCCGCATCACCAATCTTTCGCCCTGCCTGCTCTCTCTGCTTGCGCGCGCTGTCCGCCTGCTGTACTGACTGACTACTTCTGCTCCCGCAGCTATACTACTTTGGCTCGAGGGAAACGGAAAAGGAGCGAGCCTGCGGCGCGCGCGCGCGTCGGCCAGCGGACCGGCCTCCTCCCATCAGTGTTGCGTTAGTGTATGCTTGACGGCATTATCCTTTCTTACCCATGTCATATGCGGGAACCCACTGACCATGATATATCATCGGAGCAGCTTGCAGGGTTTATGAATATTCAGGCAAAAGACTGATGATGGTACTGCTGATTGTGGTGGCTGTTATGGTGGCGGTGATACCGCTGTTGATGCTGATGATGGTGATGAGGTGGTGCTGCTGTTTCTGTTGACGAAGATGTAGATAATGAGTGCGATGATTATCATGATCATGGCGACGACTGAGGATGATGATGCTGATGGTGATGATGATGATGGTGATGGTGGTGGTGGTGATGATGCTGATGCTGCTGCTGGAAATCATGATGTTGGTGACGCTGGTGCCGATGCGGATGATGATTATGATGCTGTTGATGCTGATGCTGCTGATGATGAGGCTGATGATGACGATGATGATGAGGATGTTTGTGATGATATTGATGATGATGCTGATGATGACTTTGATGTGTGTGCAGGAGGAAGATGAGCAGGAGGAAGAGGATGCTGATACTGATAATGCTGAGGCGGAGGAGGAGGAGGAGGAGGAGGAGGTTGAAACATGATGATCACGAGGTGAGTGTGGGGCAGGGGACGCAACGAACGTTTCTGCTCTATGCGAGTCTACGGAGGAGTCGCAATAGGAGACGGAATTTCAGAACGAAGAAATGGAGCAAGAGGAGCGCGATGATGATGATGGTGGTGGTGGTGATGGTGATGACGATGAAATGGATGATTCTGATAACGCTGCTGAACATACAGGCTGATGCTGATGATGATGATCCTTATGATGCTGATGATGTTTCTGCTGATGATGATGACGCTGGTGATGAATATCGTGAGCGTGATGATGACGGTGATGCTGCGGTGGTGATGATGCTGATGTGGATCACAATGATGATGCTGATGGTGATGACGAGGATGATGAGGATGATGATGAGGATGATAATGAGGATGATGATGAGGATGATGATGACGATGATGATGACGATGGCGACGACGACGATGGTGGTGATGATGATGAGGATGATGGCGATGGTGATGATGACGATGGTGGTGATGATGGTGGTGATGATGACGATGATGATGCTAATGATGATGACGATGATGATGATGATCAGTATGATGCTGATGCTGATACTGATTATGATGATGATGGTGACGATGACGATGATGAGGATGATGATGAGGATGATGATGGTGGTGGTGATGATGATGATGCTGCTGATGATGATGGTGATGATGATGGAGATGATGGTGATTGTGATGGTGATGGTGATGGGGATGGTGATGGTGGTGGTGGTGATGATGATGCTGATGATGATGATGATGATGATGATGATGATGATGGTTGTGAGGATGGTGATAGTGATGATGATGATGATGATGATGATGGTGATGCTGGTGATGATGCTGAGGATGAGGATGAGGATGAGGGTGAGGATGATGATGCTGCTGATGATGATGGTGATGATGATGATGATGATGATGATGATGATGATTGTTGTTGTTGTTGTGGTGGTGGTGCTGGTGATGGTGATGGTGATGGTGATGGTGATGGTGATGGTGATGATGATGATGGTGATGGTGATGGTGATGGTGATGATGATGATGATGATGATGATGATGTTGTTGTTGTTGATGATGATGATGAGGATGAGGCGACAGCGGCGTCGGCGGCGGCGCGGATGATGAGAAGGAGGAGATGGAAGGAGGAGGAGGCGGAGGAGGAGGCGGAGGAAAAGCCTTCATTCATGACTTTGTGGGTCGCTCTCTTGAGGTTGTGGTTCCCACTTGCCCCGCGCTGCGGCCTCCTGCGCATTCCATGTGCACTTTGCTGCGGGCTATGGTGTTGACAGTTTGCTTACAGTTTGACAGTATGACAGTTCGCTGCGAACCGCAACCTCGTGAATGAAGCCTGGAGAGGAGGAGCAGGACGAGAAGGAGAAGGTACAGGATGCTGTGGAGGAGAAGGAGGAGGGAGATGAGAAGGAGGAGGGGGAGGAGGTTTAGGAGGAGGAGGAGGCGGAGGACGAGGAGGAGGACGAGCAAGAAGAGGAGAAGGGGACAGGACCCGTCAGTCCGTGCTTCTTTTCGGCAGAGGACCAGTGCCCGCACAGGGTCGATGCCGGCCGGACCCTGTGCCACGATGCCAGGAATGTTCCTGAAGACACAGTAACATCGCTGCCTTTCTCTCGCGTGTGCCATCGCCGCCTGTCTCTCACGTTGTCTCGCTTCTACGTGGGGCCCTCCGTCAAGAAGGCCGCACCCTCGAGGGATCGAGACAGCTGGCATCTCGATTCCTCGGCGTAGGCTAGCAGAAGGCCGGCAGAAGCAAAACGGGGGCGGCTGCGCCTGCGGGAGCCGGCGCAAGGCCGGCGGAAACCGGCGAAAGGCAGGTTCGGCCCTCCAGAGATGCTTTTTATGTAGGATTCAGTGTTTCTGGAACGAGCCACGTACAGTCGGGCCGAGGTATAAGATCGAGGTCGGTTCGGAGAGGGTGCTCTAAGATTATTCGGGCTTGTTGGGTGTTCTCGTGCATCCTGGGGGAGGGTACCCTCGAATGCTCTTCATTTTGGCCGGCCGAGGGTTTCATGTGCTTGAAGGGTGTTCCTTTGTCCTAGGTCCGACTGTAGATATCTCGCGCTGCAACCACTCGCGAGCCTTCGGCTCTGAGGTATCGTGCACCCCTGCATGGGTCCGCTTGGCTGCAGACCTGAAGCGTCCGTCATATTCGGACCCCCCGCCAGTGCTTCGAGAGTAGGGTTCACATATGATTGCCTACTCGCCCTTCTTGTCCACTCTCTCTTTCTCTCTCTCTCTCTCCCGCTTTCGCTCCTCCTCTAGCTCCTGCTCCCTCTCCGTCTCCGTGTCCCTCTCCATCTGTCCCTCCCGTCCTTCTTCCTTTCCCCTTCCTCTGTCCCGGTCCCTCCCTCGCTCCCTCTCCCTCGCCCCCTCCCTCTCCCTCCAGTGCTGTAGTGGTGGCTCGACGGAGGCTCTCTTCCCCAGGACGCAGCAGTTTGCGCCTTGCCTTCTGGCCCGCGTGACCTCGGTACCGGAGCCAGGAACCCTTTCCCATGGGTTCTTGCCACCAGGCCCCCGCCCCGCCACTGCGTTCCCGATGCCAATTCACCCCCCGTGCAGATGTCCCTTCCCATGTGCACTCGAGCGACGCACAGCAACGTGGTCGTCTCTGCGGACATTCGCGCGTAAGCTGCCCGCCTAAGGTCGGGCGTAAGCGCCCTCGTTTCCAAAGTGGCGTGCCGCGCCTGCGGCCCGGGTAAGCCGCCGCGTGAGGTCCTGTGCCATCTCATGCGATACCCCTTTGTTTTCGTCGCTCTCTCGTCGGCCGTACCACAGGCCGCTCGCACTTCCTGCTCTCAGTCTCGCCCACAGCCTGTCTTCCGCCACTCGCCTGCCCTGCCCTTCGGCTTCTGCTCCACCGTCGGGAATCTGTCCACATCCACCGCTTCGGAGTCGTGCCCTGGGATCACAAGGAGCAGTGGGTATTGATATCTGCTCGCCCGCAGGGGCGACCAGGTATCCACGTCCACCGGTCCCCAGGCCCGCGGAACTCGGCCCCGCGGCAGTGGATGTGGACACATTCTGGCGGCGCATCTACTCTCTGCTCGCCCTGCGTCGGTGCACGTGATCACCCCATCTTCGCGAGCTCTCTCGGCGGTGAACGAGGGTGAGAAGTGAAACGGGGCGGGCCTTCTCAGAAGGCTCGGAAGTCCCACAGCCTTCTGAGGAGTTTTGCAAGCCTTCCCCGAAGATGCCAATAAACCTCGCGGATGGCCGGAGGCCTTCTGAGCAGCCCCGCCGGTTTCTGAGAAGGCCTCCTCTTCCTCGCCTCCCCCCCCTCGCTCGCGCCGCCTCTCGACCCCACTGTCCGCACGGACTCCGCGGCGGGGGGCGGGAGCGGAGCTCCTGCTCCCGAAGGCGCAGGCTCGGGACGGCCCCGAGGATGGCAGCACGGTGCCGCGCGTCCCCTTCCCCCCCCCGAGGCCACGTGTCGCGAGACCTGTCGAAGGCGCTGAACCCGTGGCTCGACGGCATGATGGAGAACATCGCCATCGAAGGCCCTCGCCCCCGGATGAGAAGGAATCTGTACCCATGCCGCCACCCTTCGCGCCCCCCCCTCCCCCCCCCTTCTCGGGGCCTCCCAGAGGAGGCCTCCGTCGTCACCGCTGGACTCGCCTCGAACTCCTGGTCAGAACGCACCCCAGGAGACTGTTTTTTTTAGGGTCCGGCGATAACCCGGGTTATCGGGCTTGCCCCCCCCCTCCCCCCCCCAGGATAACCTAACCTTGCCGGTTGTGCAGGTCCGGGGTGGCGGGGCGCGGGCATATGCAGGGCTGCCCACAGCGCGAAGGTTAGGTTATCGGCCGGCCCCCTCCTCCTCCCCCCTGGACAACCCAGGTCATCGCCGATTCCCAAAAAACGGTCTCCAGGAGAGGTCCCTTCCCGCAGGGGCCTTCGGTCGAGCTCCTCGTGGGCGCCGCGGGCACGGGCCTGCGAGGGGATGCCCTGAAAGGGGGCGCGGCAGCACCCCCTGGGGCCCCCCGTGGAGCTCCAAGTCGGGCCACGAGCTGCGCGAGGGGGTGCGTCGAAATCCGAGACGGGAATTTATACATGACCACCGCCTGGAGGGTCAGTTTTCAGAGCCTCGGCAGGCGGTGGATATGGACATATTCGGGCCCCTGGGGGCCGAAATATATGGCGGTGCCGGTGCCTCTTGGTTTCCCGAGCCCCGGCGCGGCCGCGGAGCGATCGGCGGCGTCTCAGGGGGAGCCGGGCCTCCCAGGGGGGCCTCTCACCCTGGCCTCTTGTCGGCTCGGGGGGGAGGGCGAGGAGGGGGCAGAAGGCCCCCCCCCCTTCGCCTGCCTCCGCCTAAGCTCTGCTCCCAGACCTTCTCGCGTCGTGAAGAACCGCGACGGAAGGCTTGGGACAACTTTCGGCTGCTGGACTTCGGGGGCCCCTGCCGGGCCACGATGCCCCGGGATCGTGAGAAACGACTCAGGATGAAAAGCCGGTCCCCAGGAAGTGGTCCAACCCCCATGGGGTCCACGTTGTGAGGAAAACCATATAATGTTTGTCTATACCCCTGCTCGCGTAGGAGCTCATCAAGGGGGCAGGGGTATGGGAACGGATGGGTGTCCAGCCTTTATCAAGAGGAACAAATCAGCGCAAACACAAGCAACGTAGATTTCAATGAATCCGTAAGGGCTTTGCCCCCTGCCGCTGGCCCCCTCTCTTGGATAATAGGGTATGCAAGAGCTGTTTTGTGAGGCCTGAGCGCCGTCGTGAAGCAGCGTCGAAACTCCGAACGGGGGCCACTGGACATATGAGCGTGCCAAAATCTATCAATAACCAAAGGAAATCGCAGATGTTGGCCTCTTGGGACCCTCCTGGGGGTGCGCCTGGAGCGCTCTTGGTGGCCTCTTGGGAGCCTCTTGGGCCGTCTTAGGACCATCTTGGGCGCCTCGGACCACTCTCAGGCCGTCTCGGAGGCTTCTTGTACCGTCTTGGAGGCTATGTATGAAGGATTGTGGCCTCGAAGGCGCAAATGCTGCGCACGTACTTCACGAGGGTTGGTGATTCCGGGGAAGCGACGAACGCGTAATTTACGAGGGGTTGTGTGATTTACAAGGGGTTATGGCCTCGGGGGCGCGAACATGTCGTGATTTACGACGGATTGTGGCTTCGGGGGCGCGACTCTGATGTATTTTTTTCGGGCCCCGGGACCCCCCAGAAGTTTTGAGACCCCCCCAAGTGAAGGTATCCAGGGCCCTTTTCGGCTCCCTCCCCTCGCGCGGATTTCAACAGTTCACGGTAGGCAGCAGAGCACATAATTGTAACATCCGAGACTGGAAATCGGATGTTGAGCAGGGAGCAGCAAGCCTAATCCGCGGAGCCTGATGGCCCCGCAAGGGGGCCTGTCGATATAGGAAGACACGAGAAACGGAGGGGACGATGACGATCCAGGAGACATGGAGAAATATGAGACATCCTGCAACGTGTGTCGGTTTATTTGTGCCCCCCTGGGCCCCTGGAGGCAGGTGGACACAACATCGAGGCTTGCGAGAACCCACCATTCTCGGCGGCACCTCGTGAGGGCAGCGCGCTTAGAAACATGTCCCTCGTCGACGACCTTACAGACTACAACTCGACCGCCAACGCCAGCGACCTGATCCAGGCGACACGATTATCAGCCACTAGACTGTGCGCAGCAGCATACTAGCACGGACTTAAGCCGCACCCAGATGAGACGAAAGCCATAATTATGCACTATGGCAGCGGGGCCAGAAAGGAGCGCCAGAGGATTGCCAAGGATAAAGTCACACTCATCGAGCTCGACGGCCTCTTCGGGACAATCTTCGCGGCGGGTGGGGCCATGGGCCCAGAAATCTGCCTCAGGGTCAACAGAACACTTGGTTCAGCGCGCCCGATGGAGAAGCAGGTCCTCCGCCGCAAGAAGCTCTCAAAGAAGGCCAAGCTGAAAGACGTCCGCGCGCTCTCAACATCATCGCTGACCTACAACCGCCACATCTGGAATGGACTGAACAAGAAGGACCGCAACCACATTGCTGCGAGAGACATGGGTCCCCACCGAGTGGCCGCCTCCTTGCCTAAGACAAATACACCAGTCAAGTACATCACCACCAGCGATGCTATCGCGAAGACTGGCGTTCTCGACTTCGACGCGCACCAGACGGCAGCTCGACTGCGCTAAATACCTCGGCTCCTGAACCGCGCGCCTGCGATCTTACTGCAGGTTCTTGATCATCAGCTGCAGCGCAAGGGCGCCTGGAGCCGCATGATTAAGCAGGACGTCGCCTTTTTTCCGATGGCACCTCCCACGAGGCAGGTGGCCGAGCAATGACCTGCAAGACAGCGACATTCTGACCTGGGCCCGCTTGAAACCCAAGCATTTCACCAACGCGGTCAAGGCGGCGAGCAAAGCGTAACTGCTCTATATGCGCGACCAGGCCCAGCTGGAGAGGTTCCATAAGGATATCCAGATGCCCGCAACATCATCGAGCACTGCAGTGACCGGCATGGCCGACGGCATCGACGAGACGAAATACATGCGCTACGTCTGCGGCCGCGCAGCCACCAAGCAGGGCGTGGCCGTGCACGTGGGAAGGGGCCGCTCCGACAGCGAGAACCCCCGATGATGGGCGACGGGAACGGCGTGCAGATGCTGCTAGACGGAGTCCCACGCCCCCCTGAGGCTCCTGAAGCACCTTGCGGTAGCCCACCGCTGCCGCAAGTCCTGGTGCGCATGGCGCACCATGGCGACGGGGCCTCTCGCCGAACAGCAAACCGCCGACAACCTCAGCGCCTTCGCGACGACCACGGCAGCCAATGAGAAGGGTGGCCGACACGCGACCTTCAGCGAGATACCAGCCTACAAGATCGACATCGCGCCGTTCCCAATCCTGGAGACGTCGCCGATATTTCCCAAGGTATACGGCGCCATCCAGCCGATCAAGCATCAACCCACACCACCGGAGACACCTGAGCCAGCAGAGCGGCAACAAGTGGTCTGCATCACCGACCGCCCTCGGCAACCAGGAGACCTCTCCAACATAGCATGGCTACAAGCGCAGCTACTAGCGAGAGCGGCGCGGACTACTGCGCGATCGGTGCCAACAACAATTGTGAAGCACCAACATAACATCGTGACCTCCAGCTCATGCGCGACAGGATCCAGATCGTAGCGATCTATGCCGAGATACCGAGAAGGACCTGGTATTACTCCGACCATGCCAAAGACCCCGCCGACCGTGCCAGTACCCGCAGCTTGAAGGTAACGCCATGGGGACCAGCCGATGCCACGGAAAAGGTTGCCGACGAGCTCTACTTAGCCAACGCAATAACAAGAGAAGTCCCCACCGTCGTGCAGGCCGCCTCCGAAGCGAATATGCCTTTCATAGTCGTACACGCCGAGGACTCTATCTTCTGGGCGCTTCCCGAGTGCCACCGTACCATCAAGCGTGCTTCAGCAACGTCCAGCACGGCCAGACACTACGAGTTTGGCATCATCCGGATCAGTGCCAGCTCTGCGACCCCCTTACAGGAAACCCAGTTGGAGGAGGCCGCCGCCGAGCATTTCGACTTAACCGCAACGGCCCTGCTCGACCACATGCTTATCACAAGGTGGGGTTCGGAGTGGCAAGCGAAGCACCAACTAGCGACGTGCGCGCCAGCTACGATAGGTACCTGTGCTACTCACGCAAAGAGGATATCGCCAGCGGCGACAACACCAGCAACGACCACAGCGAGGACCACTCGTGCAGCAGCCTCCACGGGCGCCACTACGAGACGCTACGCAGTGAATCTGATCAGTGCCCGCAAGTGGCTTCTGCGGATGCCGCGGGGCTCGGTTTGAAATCATATGTTAGAGCGCAAATTCCTAGTGTGCCATCGGGGCTACTAGACAAGACGTCGCCATGTATGCTGGAAGGTGTTAGAACGCAAAGTCCTAGCGTGCAATTGCGGCTACTAGGCAACAGGTCGCCACGTGAGCAAGGGGGTCCAGCGGCTGACATTGTTTTCGACACGTGCGGGACTGGGGGGACGCCAGGCAGAAAGAAGTCCAATGGCACATCGACCACATCAGCTGCAGTACAAAGGCACTCGAGAAGATGAGCTACAACGACAACGCGGATACGAACTTGCACGGCAGCCCGCAGCCAGAAGGCCGAAGGGCGGGCTGCAAACAAAGACATGTCAGCAGCCTCGACATTGTGACCACAGCCACGAGAAGCGACTCAAAAGACTGGGGGCCCGCAGCCCATGAGTGGCCAAAGGGGGGGGGCACCAGATGGCGGGGTCGACGATGCCAGCATTGAGGACACCAGCGGAGACCACGATGGCAACGTCAAGAACAATGCGTGGATGGGCAGCCCGCAGCCAACAAGCCGAAGGGCGGGCTGCCACAACGACAGGGCAAGCCGAAGCAGTGAAGCCAGGGTCTGGTGGCCCGCAGCCCATGAGTGACCGAAGGGCGGGCCGCCAGACAAAAGAGAAGATGGAGCACTGCGCTCCACGGCAGGCACCCGTGAGGGGCCGCCGCCTCGCGTGACAGGCGAGGCAGAGCCGCTGACCAGCCAGGTCGGCAGTGGCCCAGCAAGAGGAGGAGAATGTCAAAGTGAATGTGCCCCCCCTTGAGCTCGCGAGCCGAAGGGGGGGGAGGGCACGCAAAGAAGAAGGACGTGAAGTACAGCGCCCACAAGCAGGCGCCCTGAGGCTGCAGCGCCCGCCGCGGCGGCGGCGCCACAGAGCCTGGAGTAGGTGAGGAGGAAGGAGACAGACGACGACGACGACGACGACGACGACGACGACGACGGCGGCGACGAAGACGACGACGACGACGACGACGACAACGACGACGACGAGGGCACGAGCACAGAGGGTGAACGAGCGACGCGGCGAAAGCGAGGACACCTGGGGCACGTAGGGCTGCCAGGGCGGCGAGGTGCGATCTGGGCTTATATGCCCGTGTTCGCCAGGCCGCCTCTGGAGGCGGGGGCGCAGACAGCCAGGCGTCCGTGAGCAAAATCACCGCCACTGGGGCTCTTCCCCACGTGTCGGCGTGCGCAGTGCGCTCTCGGGGCCCCACACCATATGAGGCGTTCCAGGAAGGGCCTCGCCTTCGAGGGTCGAAGGAGTTCATTCGTCGGAGGAGGGGCAGGGGCAGGGAACTTTCCTATTACGGGCCGCGCGCTGGTTGCGTATTCTCTGTGGCCGATCGGGCGTGGCGTTCCGATCCTATTTTCTCTACGATGGCGGCCATTGGGACGCTAGGACGCTGCAGTCCACTGCTCATGCCTTGTGCACGTGGGTTTGAGAACACTAGAGCCAACAGCCAATGCTGCGCGATCATTCAACGACCAAGAGAGACCGCGCTGCAGCCCACTGGGCGTGCAGGAGCTTGCGCAGCGCCAAAAGAAGGGGCAGGGGGCAGGGGCGAGGGCACCAGTGGGAGACTGGTGGCGGCCGCCCGAGGCGTGCACCGCGCAGCCGTGCACCTGTCGGCGGCAGACGGCTGCGAGGCCCTGGAGCCGCTGATGGAGGCGTACGCGCTGCAGCACTCCAGGAGCTCCCCCCCGATTTTCGAGGAACAGGGAGGGGCAAGCGCCTTATCTCTCGCAGGTCCGCGCGGATGTCTCAGATCTGCGCTGGGCCCCCCTGGCGGCGCCTCCGGCGCTGATCCAAGAAATCCGCGCGGAGCTCCGAAAGTTTCTCCAGATCCGTGGCTTGTTCTTCCTCCAGATCCGAATTTTTATGCTGCGTATTCTTCCTCCAGATCCGTAGCTGTCTCCTCGCTCGTCCCCTCCAGCAACACCCCATATGTGGCTGCGTCTTCGCTCGTCCCTCTTGTCGGCTGCCCCCCCGCGAGCCGCGCTCCCTGCGGGGGGACCCTTGCGCTCCCCGCTGGGCCGCTCGAGTCCACGGCCGCTGCGGTGGCCTCGGCGGCGTTTCGGGCGCCTCTCCGTTCGGATGCAACTCCTGGGAGGTCAAATTCTGACTTTGCCCTGGTCCAGAATCCGGCTTAATGCGGCTTGATCCCATGCAATCCCGCTTAATCCCGCTTAACCCGCAGCCTATTTTGGCGTAGCAGCCCCCCCAATGGGGCTTAATTATCCCTAATCCTTCTGGTGAGGACTTCCTTCCCAGTAGTTGCCTCCTAATCTCCGGCTCTCCTACTGCGTCCGCCGTGTCGCTGCGTGCGTGGTCTTCGAAACGGAGCTGGCCTGCATCTGCGAGGTTGCGCACTGCCAGGGTGAAGCGTGAGCCCCAGTTTGAAAAAGAGCCGCCTTGTATCTGTGCAGCGGCCTTACGTTTGTAGTGTTTCGTGACATCGGGCACGACAACGTCTCAAGCGAAAACCCCGTTTTAAACACGAGCCGCCCTCCTTCAATGTAATAGTTGGACGGTAGCAATGTTTTGTAGGCTATTTGTGTTCCACATGTGTAACAAAAGGAGACTTAAAGGGCGAATGCGCGCGGCGTTCAGGGGAGGCTCTCATTTTGAAAGTGGTACGCCTTACATCCGTGTAGTTGTTGAAACATACCGAGCTCCAGGAGCATAGTATGCGAGGAAGTGTCAGGCGAAACGCCCCGCTCGCCCTGCCGACAAGTATGGTGTCGCGACGAGGACGAGTCATGCGTAATGAAACGGACCAAAGAGGTGGACCATCATGATCGTGATGACGATGACGATGATGCTGATAAAGATGATGATGATGATGATGATGATGATGATGATGGTGATGATGATGATGATGATGATGATGTTAATGATGATGAGGATGGTGATGCTGATGATGATGGTGGTGGTGGTGATGATGATGATATTGTTCAGGATAATAATGATGATGCTGATGCTGATGCTGATGCTGATGCTGATGATGAGAATGATGATGATGGTGGCGGCGATCATGATGATGACGATGCTGACGATGATGATGATGATGATGATGATGATGATGATGATGATGAGGCTGGTGATGACGACGGTGACGATGATGATGATGATGGTGGTGGTGGTGGTGGCGGTGATGCCGATGATGATGACGATGATGATGTTGATGATGATGACCATGATGATGCTGATGATGATGCTGAAGATGATCATGACAACGCCGGCGACGATGATAATGACGATGGTGATGATAATGATGATTCCGATGATGATGATGATTATGATGATGATGAGGATGATGATGATGATGATGATGATGATGATGATGCTGATGATGATGATGATGATGATGATGATACTGATGCTGATGCTGATGCTGATGATGATGATGATGATGATGATGATGATGATGCTGATGATGATGATGATGATGATGATGATGATTACGATGAGGCTGTCGATGATGATGCTACTGATTATGATGATGATGATGGTGATGATGCTGTTTTTGACGATGTTTATGATGCTGCTGATGATGATGAGGATGATGATCATGATGCTGATGCTGATGCTGATGCCGATGCTGCTGCTGATGATGCTGCTGCTGATGATGATGATGGTGATGATGATGATGATGATGATGATGATGATGACGATGGTGGTGATGGTGATGATGATGGATATGATGATGCTGCTGCTGATGACGATGATGATGATGATGATGATGATGATGATGATGATGATGATGATGATGATGATGGTGATGATGATGATGATGATGATGAGGATGCTGCTGCTGATGATGATGATGTTGATGATGATGATGATGATGATGATGATGATGATGATGATGACTTGAGTTGATTTGCGCAGGCTGCAGGCGATGCCTGGAGCTCTTCAGTGACAGCGGCTGCGTCGAGAAAGAACCCAGCAGCACGAGGCTCGGCGCCTCCTGCTCAAAGGGAGAAAATCTCACACCAGGAGAAAAGACTACCCTGTATTCACGAATGCTGACGCGGGAAAGCGTTTCGATAGGATTCGTGTCTTACTCGTGACGTCGACAGGAGTCGTGCCATGATTGTGACGTGTTGTGTCCAGAAGGGTCCCGTGGACCAACTCTACTCTTGCGTGCACCAGGGCTGAGCGAGGACTGGGATGAAACGCGTCTGGGTGTCGCCTCCAAGGTGTCCCCTCCGCGCTAACCTCGGGCAGCTCTCCTGCGAGCACCGCGGTTCGGCACATTCCGGAGGATAGTTGCAAGTGGTGCAAAGCCCTAGAACGGTTGTGGCACTCTCCGCCAAATGCGGTGCCTATAGAGCCTACGCAGAAGCTGCGCGCAGTTAACCTCCTGCCGTGCGTGCGCCTCTGATGCGCGGCCGATCCTTGTTGACCCTTGCACTGTTAGCCACAGACAGGGCAAGTGAGGAGAGGCTGGTCAGAGGCAGCCAGAGGCTTGGCATCGCTCGGACATGCGCACTTTCTTGCGAGTGCCATCGAGGAGCATCCTGGACCATCGTGCGACGCATGAACGCACAAGGCCGAACAGTTCACGTGGAATGGTCGTCCGAGCGACGGCAAGGTGGGAGAGGAGTCTGCTTCCCACGCCACCTGCGTTTGGCCGGTAGGTCGGGCTGGTCAGGGGCCCACCGCTTCATGCGGGCGGCCTGATATATATATATATATATAGATATAAGGCCGAATCCAGCCCCCCAAGAGCTGCACCCTAAGAGGGGCTCTCGAGGACCCTTGGCTCCTACAGCGCCGATGGGGATTCGACGATGTAAGCCTGGCACTTCTCGGGGTAGGCGGAGGGCGAGCCGAGCCTCTGCCCCCCCCCGTTGGGGAAGGCCACCGCGAACTGCTCAAGGTCGTGGAGCAGCAGGGCTGTACCTAAACGGTGTTTTGGCGATTACGTGGGCCGTTTTCGTTTCGATCTCGTTTTGCGGTAAAGGCGAACCGAAGACAAAACGAGGGAAAACGGAAACAAAACGAAAACGAAAAACACCGTTCAGGTTCAGCCCTGTGGAGCAGTGTCTGGGCCGACGGGGGCTTCGGGAGAGCCTCGATCATCATCTGAACTGCCTTCGGTGCTGTCCTTTGGACCATCGGCTCGAGGAGCGGCGGGGCGTGCTCCTTCTGCCTGACCTCCTCGTCGGTGGCCGCGGCGGGGGCCTCGTAGCGCATGTCGCCCGAGATCCTCTGCAGGACGCGATTGCACTGCCCATTCATGACGGCTTTGGCTTCAGGGCCGTCTCCACGCCGTGCTGATATCCCGTAGTGGCATTTCGAGAAAACCAAGCGTGGAACGCGCGTGGAAAACCGTAGGGAGCTACATCCAAGCACATGCACCGCTAGGTGGGCGTAGCTTTGCTGGGCCTTGGACGTCTTTCGGCATCGAAGATGTGCCGACCTGACGGTTGCAGCGTGGTGACGAGGTGCGGGGAGTCGTGAACAACGTCGAGTTCGAGTCCTCCAGGTGATCGATAGACCGCCCGGCCTATGGAGAGGGAACTCGTTCCCCTGGTCGTACGGGAGTCCTGGCCGCACATCCGCGCCATGATCGCAGATTGTCCAGGGCCCACGTTGATTACGAAGCCGACCTTGCGGAACTCTTTGGTAATGATGTCCATTGCAGGGTCCACCTGGGCGAGCGCAGCTCCTGAGGGGAATTGGCCAGAAATTTGATGTCACGTCGTCTAGATCTTGCTCGTATCTGGGAGCCTGCTGCGCAGTGAGGTTTTCGGGGCTGTTGTCGAAATCGGTTGCCCTGGGAGCGGATGCTCGCGTGGACGTCATCATGTTCAGCTGGATGTTGCTCTCATTGAATCGGTGCCGCGCTCGCTTGACGGCTAGTTCGTAGGCTAGACTGAAGCACGCCGCGCCGAGTCGACAGCCCTGGCGTGCGCCACGGTTCGCGGCAACCACGGGGCCTGGTTCACCTCGCATTTGGAACCACCTATTGGAGTGGAGGTCAGCAGGTCAGAAGCCCTCGCGGTGGCGTGTTCGTCCATGCCAGCCGCGCGGAGGAGTGTGGGGTTGTCCTGTGGGTAGCGCTGGGTCTCGTCGGCCACGTCACGCGGGATGGGATGTCTAGCTCATGCAGTTAGTCTGGTAGCATGTGTAGCTGGCGGTGACCAGCTCCGTAGAGTTACTCCCGGATGACGCTATCGAAAGCTTTGGCTAAGTCGAAGACTGGGATGGCCCAGCACTGGCGCATGTGGATCCTTCTCTCTATGAAGGTCTGCATCCCGACAGTCAGGAGAGCTTGTCCCGTCTTAGAACTGCGCCACACTGTGCAACGCCCCACTGCCGCTGGCAATACTTGGTAGACAGGGTCCGAGATCTGCGGGGTGTACAGCTTGGACAGGTGGTCGGACGTACCAGGATGCTGCGACTCTGCTGAGGGAGGAAGATATCGCCCTTGCGCTTCCAGATGTCGAAGATCTTGCCCCTTTGATGCTGACTGGGAGCTGGTATCGCGAGGGGGAGAGGCGAAGAGCGACAGGAACCCGTCGAGCGATGCCTCGCCGCCAGAACGCCATACCGAGATGCTGATGCTGTCAGGGCCCAAGCCCTTCTGAGCCTCCACATGTCCGCCCTGATGCGGGCGCGCTCCATGGATGTCCCCTCGGGGGGCACCTGGATCCTCGGGGGATCCGCGAGCAACGGGTCTGTGGAAATGACCTGTCCCGAAACGAGTTCGGCCCAGTGACGGCGCCATCGGCCCAAGATGTCATGAGGGTCAAGAAGGAGCTGGCCATCCTCATGTCGCACGGCACGGACCGCACGTCGCCCCGAGGTGCACGAGTCTCATTCGTGGTCTCATAGTGGGTCGTGTAATCATGGCGGTCGTGTGCCTCCTGCGCCCTTGCGGCAATGTGATCTGCCCATTGCTGGCGATCGGCGCATGACGCTGTCCCCACCTGGCTGCGGTGGTGCACCACCTGCTGTACGTGTCCTCGGAGTGCAGGCCTTGCTCTATGTGCCAGCGCTGGAGGCGGAGGCTATCGCTCTCATTCGTGAGGGGCTTCCTCAAGGCCTGCAGGCAGTGATGGAGCTTCGTCTGCTTTGTGGGCCAGATGGCCCAAATCGTCTGCTGACGAACGAGATGTGTGCTCGACCAGCTGCCAGGTGGTCTGGGAGATCCACGGCTTTCGTGGGACCTGCGTGGTCTCGGAAAACAAGTGCGCCTCTTGCAGCCTCTGCTCGAACTGGGCGAGTTTGGCATGGTATGCATCGGGGCCCTCAGGGAGTAGCGCGTGAAAGGCAGGGACTGGATTTTGGAGATCGGCTGCAAAGGCTTAGCGCCGATCAGGATCGCGAAGTTTGAAAGCATCCAGACGCCGTCCCGCGGGGTCGCGAGAGGGTCGCTTGTTTACCGTGATTTTCCCCCAGACCATGCGGTGGTCGTTCTTGGTGGTGAAGGCCATGCGGTCTTGCTCCACTCCGGCAGCGACGGACCTCCGGAGCCACCAGTCCGAGGCCCATGTATGGTCAGAGCGCTTCGGGAAAAGGGAGTTGCCAAACCACGACGGCTCGGTGCAGTCGTGCCACTCTGCGACGTCGGTAAAGGCGAAGGCCTCCTTGAGTTCCGCGGAGAAGCAGTAGTTGGCGTTGCAGCCCTTGCCGCCGTCGTCGTCGTCGTCGTTGGCGTTGAGGAGGAGGAGGAGGAGGAGGAGGAGGAGGAGGAGGAGGAGGAGGAGGAGGAGGGAGGAGGAGGAGGAGGAGGAGGAGGAGGAGGAGGAGGAGGAGGAGGACGAGGAGGAGGAGGAGGAGGAGGAGGAGGAGGGGGAGGAGAAGGAAGAGGAGGACCAGTCATAGGGAGGATGCGGCAGGTGGATGGC